ATTTTGGGGAAAAATGATGACATAAAATCCTATTAGATGGGAGTACATTTAATAATGCAGAAAGGATGGAGGAGCAGAGGAAGGAGGGGAGCCCAGCATTGCTGTGCTTTGGTTGTGTTTATTCACAGTCCTGTGGTGGTGGAGTCGAAATTCGCTGGCACAGCTGGGCCAGATCTGGAACAGGGTCTGGCTTGGGCTGCTGCCTCCATCCCATCTGCTGCTCTTTGTCCTGTTCACACTTCCAGCAAGTCTGAAAATTAGAGGGAAAGGAATGATTGTGTTTTCCTGGATTAGCATGGAACCAGAGTCTTCCAACCCAACCATCACAGCTCTTATCCAGGTGGGAAGGGGGGTGTGGGGTCCCACCAGAGCCCATCTCTTCTTGGCAGCCTGTGTTGAGAGCTTGCTCCAAGCCTTGAGCAGAAGGCAAATGCAGGTGATCTGCTGTGAGAGGGGCTTTTGACAAGGGGGATTGGACTTCAACTGAAGAAGAGCAGAGGTTGGGGATGGGATATTGGGAAGGAATTGCTCCCTGTGAGGGTGGGCAGGCCCTGGCACAGGGTGCCCAGAGCAGCTGTGGCTGTCCTTGGATCCCTGGAAGTGTCCACGGCCAGGCTGGCCAGGGCTGGGAGCAGCCGGGGACAGTGGGAGGTGTCCCTGCCTGTGATGTCTCCTCCTAAAGGGACACGGTTTTCCTACACCTGGATATAGGTGCCCACAGGTACCTCCTTCAAAGCAGGCAGAGCACTGCTTCCAAAACCTCTGACATGGAGAGCAGCAGGGAGTTTTCCTTTCATAGCTCAGTGGTGCATTTGTGCCTTTCAGACTAAAAATATCGAAGGATGGAGATACGAAAACTCTCCTCTCCTACGTTATGGTTTTCCTTTGTTCCTACATGTTTGCCTCCAACCCCTGCATCCCATTATCTGCCTCAGGCTGCCCGTGGGTGAAGGATGAGCAGCTCACACCCAGGCAGTGAAAAATCCCTCCTTGGAGGGAAAAACCCATCCATCACATGGAGTCAATCCTTGGATCAAGACCAAGGTCTCATCTGGGATGGGAGTGATGAAAAGGCTTCTTCTGCCAGAGCTGGCTGCCCACATCCTGCTGCCCACATCCTCCTGTGACTGCTTGGAGCATCCCTCGAGCAGGGATGGAGCAGATCCCAGCCTGCACCCACGTTCAGCCCTATATGGGTCCATATGGACCTGCTGGGATCAGTATGGAGGTGAGGGAACAAAGGAATGCTCTCCTTGTGCCCTGAGGAGGAGCACACCTGAACTGCAGCACCCAGGTCTGTCCCTGGGCAGTCCTGATATGTCATTTCAACAACACAAAGCCCCCAAAATAGGCAAGAAAATTTATAAATAAGGGAATGTTCATGCTCAGATTGTTTTAGCCATTTCTGCTGTCAGATGCTTTACCAGCTGGCCAAGCTGGAACTAGGGGAGAGTGGCTGGTTTTGTGATTAGCTGGAAAGATGAGCCAGAATACGGCTCAAAAATGGGAAATATTTCAATGAACTGTAAGAAATTACTCATTCCCACAGGCGTAATTCCAGGCATTGATTCATTTAGTTAATTTTTAGTGGAAAAATAAGTCTTTACATCCAAGAAAGAAGATGCTGAAGGGTGGCTGGTGTTTGTTATGTGGAACACAAGGATATTTGGTGTTTAATAATTTTTGCTGCATTAATGATTGTTCAAAACAGCCTTAGCAAGGCTCTTCCTGGGGGTGTCCAAAATGGGACCATCTATCACACGTGTTCCTTTTGGACAGCCTTTCCCAGGAAAGGCTGTGTCCAGCAGCCCAGGGATGGGGATTTAAGTGAGACAGGGATTGAAGGGATTCCTCTGTGGAAGGAATGCATGATAAATAGTAAGGGAAAATAAACACTGAGGGGGTTCAGATCATATTCCTGGGGGTTGGTGCTTTGGGACAAAGGTGGGAAAAGCCATGAGAGCCTGGGCTGCTGTTCCTTCTCTGATAGGAGAAGGAGGAAAGAATTCCTTTCCTTTCAGAAGGAAAGAATGGCAGCTGTTGATGGAGCAGGGATGGAGAGGAGAGAGCAAGAATTTCTCCTGGCCAGGTGCAGGGTGACAGGGACAGGCTGTGGCCCTGCAGAGAGGAGGGATGAGGGATGGAAAATGTCCTGGAAATCACATTGTGCTGTCTCCAACTCTCCCACGTGGAATTTGATCACTCCTCTGCTCCAGAGGAAGCCTTCCCTGGCTGCTGGCTGTGCACAGCTGTCTGCTTTGTTTATGAAGTCCCTTTCTGTGCTTGTCACTCTGGACTCTGTGCTCAGGGATAATCTCAGGACAACGACCTTCATCCCACACCAGCCTTTAACCAGGAGTGCTCCCAGCTATTTTCAGGATCGTTTTTCTCTGCTTTTCTGGTTAAATACAAGCTCAGTGAAGCCACCAAGCCAAAATTCCCATTCTGCAAAGATCCTGGGAAAACCAAGTCAAAATTCCCATTCTGCAAAGATCCTGGGGGAATATCACTGGGTTTTGATGGGGAACATGATAAAATTTTAATTATTTCGTCTAAGAATTGATTGAGCTTTTCTGCTCTGCCTGCTCCTGCCAGGATTGTTGAGGCTGGGAGTGGTGTGGCTCATTTTCTCCAGCATCAGATCGTTCTGGTAAAGCCCCCTAAGCTCATTCAGTGAATTCCCCATTTCCCTGGAGAGGGATACAGAGCATCCAAGGTGAGAAGGAGCAGCAATGTCAAACAGGCAGAAGAAATCTGGCTTTGCTTTCTCTGACTAAAGTGCACCCTGAGAACAGAATTGCTGCAAAACCACCCAGGCCGGGCATTGCAGGCAGCCCTTGGCTGAACTCTGAACCTCGTTATGCAGGAAATAAGGAGAGTTCACAGAGATAAATGGTGCTGGGGGACAGGATTCCACCCTGGATACTGCTCCCAGTATCTCACCTCCAGACTGGGAGGGATCTCAAAGCCCACCCAGTGCCAGCCCTGCCATGGCAGGGACACCTCCCACTGTCCCAGGCTGCTCCAAGCTCTGTCCAACCCGACCCTGGACATTTCCAGGGATTCAGGGACAGCCACAGCTTCTCTGGGCACCTGTGCCAGACCCTCATAGGGAAGAATTCCTTCCCAATATCTAAGAGTGAGTGCCCTGATCTAGACTACTACTGTACACTAATAATAACAACAATAATACTAAAAAACAATAATAAATATTTACATATTTATTTGTGTTTGTAGGAGAAAGGGAAACCCGTGCTTGTATCACCAGGATCCAAAGAACTCAGTCCTGCCTTCAAAGGTGAGACATTCACTGGGTGAATGTCTGAGAGGGAAAAAAAGGATGAAAAAACAAGAGATCCCCTCTTGCTGAGTCTTCATCCTGCCCCTGGAAAGGAAAATAAATGTTTAATAGAGAAAATACGAAGTTCAAACCAGTGTGCCCTCCCAGTGTGTGTCCACTGCATGTCCCAGTGCTTCCAGTTCGTGTCCCAGTGCTCCCAGTTTTCATGTCCCAGTGCTCCCAGTGTGCCCAGTTCGTGCCCCAGGGTGCCCTCCCAGTGTGTGCCCCGTGACAAACCGGCTGGAATGGGCCAAGAGCCCCAGCAAAGCTCCTGGGAGTCCCTGACAAGCTCCAGGGAATCCCGACGAGCTCCTGCTCGGGTCAGGGCTGCTCTCCTGGGAGCGCTGCGCTGTGAGGCCACAGGTAGTTAATTAACGGTGGCTAATTAAGCTCTCGGATGGAACTGAACGGTGCGAAGCTGCTGCTTTAGCCCACGAGAGGGCAACGCTTCCCTCCTGCCTGGTGGCCACACTTGGGAAAACTGGATTCCTTTTATTTTCTTTATTTTCTTTATTTCTTTATTTTATTTATTTTTTCTTTTATTCCTTTATTTTCAATTAGGAATCGAACGAGGGATTCCTTATCTTTTAACAGTCTTCCTAAAGGTTTTATTTTTTATTTTTTTTTTTCATTGGGGCATAACGCAGGACAAGGTGCTCCTGTGCATCCCTGCTGGATTCCCAGCTGGAATGGCAATAAAGAGGAGCCGAGCAGCAGATGGGTGATGCCATCCCCTCTCCCATAAAATCTGCTGCGGAGACAGGCTGGAGCCGGGAGAGCCTGGCAGTGCCAGGGACAGCGACAACCCGCCTGTGCTGGCATCGGGAAAAAACATGGGAATGAGCAAGGAGAAGTTTTCCTGGTGCTCTCAGGGCAGGGATGCTCCATGGGGACACGCTCAGGCAGAGGTGGTGATGGGGATGAGCACAGCATCTTCCCCGGTTTTAATGGAATTTCATAAAATCGCAGATTGGTTGGGTTGGGAGGGACCTTCCGTTATTCCAGGCTGCTCCAAGCCCTGTCCAGCCTGACCTTGGACATTGCCAGGGATCCAGGGGCACATTTTCCCTGGGTAATCTCTACCAGGGCCTCCCCACCCTCATTTTCCAACCCTTCTCCCTCCTGCAGCTCTCAGCCAGGAACCTGTATTTAAATTTAAATTTTAATCCACACCCTCCCCTGCCTCTGGAGCCAAATGTATTCCCAGGATCAAAGCCCCACAAGCAGAGACACGCCGGGCTCGTTCGGGCAGCACAAAAACCTTTCCAAATACCAGATCTACCCCTCCCTGGCCACCGCCACAACCCCTACACCCCAAATCCCCAAATTCCCGGGATATCTATCCTCCAACCTCTCCATCCCCCTGGATTCTCCTCCACCATCACTCCCTGCAGCACCGCGTGTGCTCCCATCCCTTGGGCTCACGCTTTTCTCCCTCAACCCCATCCCAAAGAGCGGCGACACCGCTCCGGAACAGGACAAACCGGATTTGGCCGCGGAATTCCGCACGGATTTGGGATTCGCGCGTGGCCACGCCCATTTCCCCCATCCGTAACGGGGCGGAACCAAGATTTTTAAATGGGCGTGGCCAGTGGTGGGCGGGGCTTAAGGAAGGGGCGGGGCACAACGCGGTGGGCGTGGCTCAATGAAATGGGCGTGGCCTCATTCCCGCTCCGGTCGCCCGTGGAGACACCGGGAGCGGCGCTCGGTGAGTCCCGGGATCCCGGGATTTGGGACGAGGGGAGGGAATGGGGGGAGATTCCCACCGGGAATATCGAGCTCCGCTTCCCGGGACAACCCAGTGGGGACAGCGGGGACAGCGGGGAGCGCCAGCCCGGCCCCTTTGAGCTGCCGGGCCTGGTGGGGCGGGCCGGGCCCGAGCGGTGCTTGGTTGCTTTTTTAAAGGTTGGTTTGGAGGTTTTTTTTTTTGTCGGTTTTGGTTTTTTTAAGTTTTATTTTATTTTCCCGTCTTTTTTTCGTCGTGCTGAGGAGTATTCCCGGTGTGGTTCAACAAGTGGCGTGCGGCACGGGAATGAGGCGAAATCTGCTTAATTATGTAAAAAAAGTAATCTGTTTAATTAGGCAAAGATAATTCTAAAATAGGCGATTTTTTTCTTCCTTTTCCTGCCTCCTTCCCTCCAGACCTTCCCTATGGCACCGATGGATACCCAGAGCTGGCAGCTCCAACTACACGGGGGCCACCCCAGCTTCCAGCTAAATCCTTGAAATTTTCCCAATTTTAGCATTCCCAGCTTTGGGTTTTCCTTGGAATCGCGGAGCTCTGCTTGACGGAGAAAGTTTCCCACGTGCGGGGAGTTGTGGGATGAGTGTGGGAAGGAGGTTAATTAGTGGAGAAGCGTCATTATTCCAGGAGGTTTCGTGTTGATACTGAGATTACACACCCTGTTGCAGTAATAAGTTTGCTTGGATTCATGGAATTGCAGAACATCCTGAGTTGGAAGGGACCCACACGGATCATCGAGCTCAGCTCCTGGAAGTTTTTTAGTTCTTTTAGTAACTTTTAATTTGTGATTCTCTGTTGCAAACTTAAATTCTTTCCCTTTTTGGGAGGGGAGGGGGAGAGAGGGTTTGGAGTGGATGTTGTGATTTTAGCCTGGTGTTTTTAGGAAGGAGCTGGAGCTGTGCCAGGAGGGGTTTAAGTTGGATTTTGGGAAAAGTTCTTCCTGCAGAGGGTGGTGGGCACTGCCCAGATCCCCAGGGAATGGTCACAGGCACAGGGTGAGATTTTGGGATTGTCCAGGACCAGGAGCTGGACTTGATGATCCTTGTGGGTCCCTTCCAGCTCAGGATATTCTGTGATTCTGTGATTTAATTAGTGTGGCACATCAAATGAAATTCCCAGCAATTTGCCAGGTGTTTTAACAGGCTTAGAACCCCCTCGTGTGTGTTTGTCTGGGGTGTGAATTAGTTTAGAAATACAGTGCTGGGAGTAGAGGGTGAGTAGTGGACAGTGGCAGGGTTTTGTGCTGCTCAGGGCCACTAAATGAGATTGAGGGATTAGTGTGGAGTTAATGACTCCTCAATCCCTATTTCATCCCAGCGTGGGATGCACTGCAGCTTTTGGGATAGCTCTAATCAAGGAGCAATCAATTCCAGAGGGGAACAATGAATGGGCTCTGATGCTGAGGGTGAGCTCATTCCACAATCACACAGATGTTGGAGGATTTTTCCTTGGAAGATGAAATTCTGTTATCCTGGAAGAGTTTCTTGGGCTCCCAGGCAGCAGAACAACTGATCTCTCATGTCTTGCTGGTGTTAAATTAAATTATTGAGTTGTGCTGTAGGTTTTAGATATTTTTAATTTCAAATATAATGTTTCTTTGGCTAAATGATAACTTTTAAAATGCTGAAAGTTCTTAAGTTTTTAGGTGCTGTTACTAAAAAGACTCGGAATTTTTGAACCAGATTAATGTCGAGTTCTCTGTAGTAGGGCCTGGGGTGACACAGTAGGATTATGGAATCCCAAATGGTTGGGGTTGGAAGGGACCTTAAATCCCATCCAGTGCTATGGGATGGACACTTTCCACCATCCCAAGGTGTTCCAAGCCCATCCAATCTGGCCTTGGACCACCAGGGATCCAGGGGCAGCCACAGCTTCTCTGGGAATTCTCTTCCAGCCCCTCCCAACCGTCCTAGGGAACAATTCCTTTCCAAAATCCCATCCAGCCCTGCCCTCTGGCAGTGGGAAGCCATTCCCTGTGTCCTGTCCCTCCATGCCTGTTTAAAAAGTCCTCTCCCTCTTTTTTTCTGTGGCTCCTCCATCCCTGCAAGAGTTGCTGGAATGCTGAGTGGAAGATGCTGAACATGTCAGCTCAGTGGGGTGGAATTTCCTTCCCAAATCCCAGTGTATCTCTGTCTGATTGTGCTCTGGTGTGAAAGCAAATCCATATTCCTCCAGAAATCCGTGGTGCAGCCCCACAAATCCTCACCCTTTCCCTTTGTCCCCTTTGCCAGAGCAGAGATCACTGCAGGGAATCATTTCCAAAGGTTTACAGTTATCCAGGGAAACCCCAGCACAGCCTTGGCCGAGCCATGGAGCCGTATTCCAGGGAGGATTGAGTTGCTGCAACTCCCTCTGTGCTTACACAAACCCTGGGAATGGGGGAAGGCTGCTGGGTCCTGTGTCCTGGCACAGAAATAATTCTGTGCAGGAGCAGGAATTGGGCTGAAATTCCGTGGACTGGGATGGTACAACCCCAGTTCTTGAAAGCCGTCATGGACTGACTTTTTTCTTGGGAGCTGCAGATGTTTGGTGGCTCTTGGGACTCCTGCACTGCTGGAACCGTGCAGCTATTTGGTGAATTTTGCAATATTGCACAGTTGGGGCTCGTTTTTCCAAACCTCAGCGTTCATCCTGTGCTCAGTGTTGGGAGCTCTTGGATCCAGATCATTTCTGCTCTCAGGAATAACCTGGGGGGGAATTTGGAAGGGTGAGACGACACTGATGACACGAGCAGAGTTTTCATTCTGTACTTTGCAAGGATTGATGAGAAAGAGCAGAGGAAGTGGCAGAAGTCCTCAGGGTGACTGGGTTGTGCTGGGATTCTCTGTGGGATTTTAGGGAGGAAGGTGGGGGAGCAGTGGGCAGGTGGGGGTACATCCATCCCCTGGAGACACACGCGGCTCTGGGGGATCCAGCATTCCCAGGGGATGCAGAATTCCTTGCTGTGGAGCTGCTGAATCCCTTCCAAGTGTCCCTGGGGAGGAGAGGATCCACTCCTGGATCTTGTGGTGACAAACCTGCAGAGCTGGAGCTGTTGAATCCAGAGGAGACACCAGGAGAGAGACAATTCCCAAGGGATGGAGGGACAGCACACAGGGAATGGCTTCAAAGTGCCAGAGAGCAGGGCTAGATGGGAAGGAATTGGGAAGGAATTCCTGGCTGGGATGGAATTCCCAGAGAAGCTGTGACTGCCCCTGGATCCCTGGAAGTGCCCAAGGCCAGGTTGGAGCAGCCTGGGACAGTGGAAAGTGTCCCTGCCATGGCAGGGGAACAGAACAAAATGAGCTTTAAGGTCCTTTCCAACTCTAACCAGTGGGGATTCTATGAAAGCTGAGCCTGGGGTTCAGTGTTCCCCAAATCCCATCTCCCTGGAGCCCCAGGCAGCGTGGCTGGGGGTGGATCACAGCTTTGGGATGTTCCTGGACACCAGCAGCTGAGTATTTTTAGTTGTGTTCCTTTGAATATTTGGTGAAACAGGCCATGTGTTTATATTCAGCTTCCTGTGTCCGTATCAGCGTCTTGGCATGTGATGGAGCTCCAGAGGGAGGAGGGAAAGGGGAAGAAGTGTGTGCTGAGGATTATTTGTACTGCAGCAGCTGAGGCCAGCAGGACGTGGAGCTGGGATCAGCTCCTTCTTTAAACACTGGGCTCAGGCAGGAACCAGCCTTGCTCCCCCTTTGTCTTCCCATCCCTTCTCCCCTGTCTTTCCAAACCTGCTGTGCAGGGACAGGTGACTTTTAGGCACGCTTTGCTTTGGGATGTGTGATCCAAGCTTTCCTGCCCTGCTCTCTGCTCTTATCCTCCAGATTTTTTCTTTCTGCTGTTATCCTCTAGAGGCTTTGGAGGTGGAAAAGCCCATCTCAGTCCTGCTGGGAAGGGAGCAGCCTGAATTCCAGCCTGAATTCCCAGGCTGAATTCCCAGGCTGAATTCCCAGCCTGAATTCCCAGGCTGCATTCCCAGGCTGCTGCCCTGATCCAGGTTGTGCTCAGCTCCTGTCCAGAACCATTCCCTGTGCAGAGCCAGAGCACACGGGGGAGATTTTGTCCGGTTTTTCCATCTGAATGAGGATTTTCCTTGTGCCCAACCTCCTCCAGAACACACAACCAGGAGGTTTTCTGGTGATTTAAGCTGAGGAGAGGAAATTCTCCCTCCCAGTTTCCAAGAGAATGCCAAGGGGATGCCCTGGGGCCCAGCCCTTGCTGCCTGAACCAGGGAAACATCAGGGACTGGTGATTATCCCAGAAAGGGAAAAATAGGGCAGGGATGGAGGAGATATTAGGGATAAATTCCTCCCTGTGAGATTGAGGTGCCCAGAGCAGCTGTGGCTGTTCCTGGATCCCTGGAAGTGTCCAAGGCCAGGTTGGACATTGGGACACCTTGGGACAGTGGAAGTGTCCCTGCCCGTGGGATGAGGTGACCTTTGGGCTCCCTCCCATCCCAAACCAGTCTGTGATTCTATGGTTGCTGTGAATAACTTTGAGCAGATCCCAAATTACATTTTCAGCTCTGTTTGTAGCTTCAAGCCCTCTCCCAAAGTCAGGAGTTTTGGTCTAACTTGGAGCTGGGACAAGCAGCAAATGTCCCTGACTTTTATGGGAGAGGGACCATCCTTGGCCGAGCTAAATCTGGTTTTTGCTGCTGTAAAACTTGCAAAGGGATTCCTCCTGCAAAGCAGGGATGCTCCAGCTGGAGCTGGAACTCCTGCAGTGCAGGAGGACCTGGCTGGAGCTGCCAGCCTTGGCCAGAGGCACTGGGACCCATCCAGCTGTGGAATTTCCTCAGCCCACGTGCCCTTCCCTGATTTATTCCTTCCCGAGCACGAACTGGCCTCTGAGTGGAGCCTTTTTGCAGGGGGTGCATTACACCAGCCTCAAACTATGCCAGCAATGCTGGCTTTGTGGGTTTTTATGACTGGTTTGATAGGAGCTTTGATTAGGCAGGAATATCAGCGTGGCTCCAGGCTGGGAAGTGGCCCCAGAGCTGGAATTATTTCTCAGATGCATTAAATAAAAGATGGGTTGGAGTGGTTGATCCCTGAAGGTCTCTCCCAACCCAAACCATCCCCTTGGTTGTTTTGACTGTGTTTTCATCCCCCTCGGGATGCACGAGTCAATTTTAAAAATCTTCCTTATTTTTCCCTGACAATTTCCAGGGGGTGTGAGCACACTGGGACATTGCACAGATAAGCAGAGCTGCAGCTTTTCCATTCAAACTCTGATTTTGTGCAGCGCTCACACGTCCGTGGAGGAGGTTATATGTCACATTTATTTATTTTGGTTTCCTTGCTGGATGTGGACAGGACAAGCCTGGCACAGGGACAAGGACTGTGGCAAGGCACACTGTCCTTAACACAATTTATTTTCCTCCTCCACACAATGATTTGATTTTTTTTTTTTTTTTTATTAGAAGTGTGATCCCATTTCCAGCACGGGAAGTGGGCTGGGATGATTTTGGGAATGTTGCCCGTGCTGCCTGCCTTGCTCAGGACCATCCTGTGAGAGCCAAAACGAGGGGGTGGGATTTCAGTTTGCTCTTTAAAAATGCTGTTTATTTTATCCAGATGATAACAGCATTTATTATTATTTATTATTATCCAGATGATAATTCACAGGTCATGGGGAACAAGAGCCCAGCCCACAGTTTTTTTAGCCTCAGCTGTGGGTTTGTCTGAAGCCAACTCTAATTCTGGTTACAATACATTAAATACTTTTTACTGCAGAACATCTTAAAACATAAAAACCAATTAATACTTTTACCATTACCTATAGCCTATCCTAACTACTAACATTGCCATATTCATGTTACTGTTTTCCCAATCACAAAAAGTTAATATGTTACAATTTAAACTAAAAGTTGTTTTTCAGTTTTCTTGCAGTAAAAAAAAAAAAATTAAATCTTTCTTTCTATTTGCAGCATGGCGTTTTTTGCCTGTAAAAATCTTTTTATTTAGTAAAAGCATCTTTTGTTTAAAGTGAATTTATCCTTTAAGTCATAAAAACTCCTTCCAACTCATTTTACCCTTTAACTTCTTAATTATCCAGTAAGCCTAAATCAACAATTCTTTTCTTCTATATCAAAACTTGCTCTCATTTCTATTCATTCTTCAAATTCTACATCCAAAAATCTTTCTGTTATACATACATAGATATCTGTAAGGCCTTCCTAGCAAATCCTCATCTTTCCCAACACCATCCCTTGGGAATTTCAGGTGGCTTTTGCCCTCCTT